GTTCCTCCATAAATGTCTCCTTTAGTTTCAAACAGATCTTTATAGTTTGTGCTTCGTAAGCCAATTCTTCTTATGATTTTGGGGGACTCTTCTTCAAAGAGCTTGCCATGAAGATTTAGAGACAGAGCAAGAGCTTCTTCCAGTCCTGAGCCTTGGCTGTGGACAAAACAAGCTTGAGTCGGGCAGCTTCCCTCCACACAAAACGTTACTGATGGTCATTGCGCCAAAACTGGGATTTTATTAGAAACTCAAAGCTTGGGGGATTAAAAAGGAGCAAGAGAATACTGTAACAAACTTCGTACAGAGTTCAGTCTATTAATTGTTTCATGTTAGATATTCTATGTGTTTACCTCAATTGAAAAAAAAAGAATGTTTTTGCTAGTATCAGATCTGCTGTGGAAATGGTATTGTATGTCCATGAAACCTTCTTTCTCTCAGCACGTGTTCCTCACTAGAAGAAAACGCTGTTACCTTTAAGCTTTGTCAAATTTACATTAAAATACTTGTATGAGGACTGTGACGTTATGTTAAAAAAAGGTGTTAAGTCACAAAATGCGGTAATAAATATTTCATTTTTGATTTTTTGTTAGGCTTTGGTGTTTTAATGGTTTTAAGGCAAGGTTGCACAATGCCAATTATATATAGTGTTGAAAGTAGGTGATTGCCTGCCCCCCAGGTTGAGTACATTTGAAACTTACCAACAATTTTTAAGGTCATCATCTATAGCTTTTCAATATGTATTTGGCTGATAAGTTCACCCAGCAGGCAACTTCTACAGGTATGAAATGTGTGTGTGTCATGAACCAGGTTGAAAGCTTTCTTTATAGATGGATGAGGTCTAAAAAGCACTTTCAGATAAAGCTTTTCTTGCCATCCTCTGCCACAATAAAGGGTTTTTTCAGGGTGAATTTTGCATCACAAGAAATAACATCTCCACTTAAAGATAATTTATCTGCCTGTGTTTCTTTCCTACCTTACAAAATAATGTTGAATATAAACTAAAATTTATATGTGGATATGTTTTTAGAGAAGTAAACAACTTGTATGGAGTTTGAAGCACTGAGTTTAAAAGATTACTTAAGCGTTAATATTTAATATAGCTATGACTCTTCCATGTGTAGGGATGCTAACGTGATGATTCAGTGACTAAACTTCAAAAAAAGAAGACAATTTGATGCCATTTTCAAAATTTCATTCAACAGTTCTGGAAAATTCTGAGCTGGTTGATATCACACAAATAATGCCTGCTAAAGTATGCAAAAAGTGTGCTGGGGGAGAAGTATGAGATACTGCACGTCCCTCAATTTTTCAAATAAACCGTCTACCCTAGAATTTTGTAACCCCTAAACTTTGAATCCTATGTTTAGGATGAATGGATGATACATTTTAGCTAGATCTGTGATGTCAACTTGATAGGGAAGTAGTTCACTCATTTCACAAACTTTAACTTGGAAGAACTCCATTCTTATAACTTACCTGGGGTTCTTCCATCTTTCCACTCAGGCAGACATTACTAGAAATTCTCTATAAACAGGCAAGGAAATAAAGTTATTCTTTTGATTTATTTTGTTAGGTAATGTTTTTACAAATACATTTACCAGTTTGATTAGTTTGCTGCTGTTTAAACATAGAAATAACACTTCTGACACAAACGAACTGTTAATACAAAAATTCTTTGCCACTTGGAAGAGAGAAATAACTTGCCTCTCATTTTTACTACCCTGGTTTACGTGGAGTCTCTTTATAAAATTTAAATATTTGCATATTTTTACTTTAAATGCTTTTATGTAAACTCTGACAAGTTCCCCACTTATAAATTAACTTTCACATCAGCTGAAAAAAAATTGGCAGTTTTTCTTCCATTCCTTTCAGTAAACTAAGGGTTTACTTGGTAATTGGCCCATGTTGAGGAAATGTTTGTGAAATTATGATATTATTTCATTGCAGATTAAAGCCCAGACCCCTCAATCCTTGGTTTTAATGAATGAAATCATCTCAAGCTTAGTTTCTTGGGCAGATCCACATCCTATCATGTTAACCTTAACCTTCTTAAATATCTGGAGATGAATGATAGTTGTAATAATATTTGTCTGCATTTTGGCCCCCCCCCATGCTAAGAAGGGTGATAGATTTTTTTTTATCATGCTTTTTTATACCACCTCGGAAGGCACTTGCTCCTATCTTGGGTTTACTATTTAGTATAAAGAGTTCCGATTTGGGTATATTTAAGAAAGACTCAGCTGTCAAAAGCAAAGAAACTGGGAATGGTGTTTTGACAACCATATAGTGCTAAAGGAAATACTGTAGTCTGAATAAAATTGCTTATGTTCTCCAAAACAAGAGTAATATAAAAACACTTTTTTATTTATATGGAAAAGCAAAAGCAGAAATAAATTCCAAAGGTTTCCCTTTCTTTAAGCAATTCTGAGAGAACCACACTCGCCATCTGTTAAGGGTTGGGAATTGAGCAAGAAGCCACATTTTACAGGAAAAAACCCGAAAAGCCCAGGGAAGTCTGTCTTCCATCCTCCCTCTCTCCCTGCCACCCCAGGTCAGCACCCCTGCGACCCTCGGCCCATCTCGCCAATTGGGGTTTGTGGGGAGAGGTCCATCTGGGTCCTCCGGGCCTGCTGCCCCTCCCGCCCCCGCGGGTCTGTTAACCCAGAGCAGATTTGGGAGGGGAAATGTGGCTAATATCTCTGGCAGCTGTCAAAGGAGGGCCCTTCCTTCAAAGGACCGGCCGGGCATCCTCCACAAGTTCCCCATTAGTCTTGCAGGCCAGCAATTTGATCAGGAGCCTGGACCTCCGCTACAAGTTCCCACTTTGTTACCAGGCTCGGGGTCTGGGGGCCTGGATGCGCGCGGTGGCCCCGGCTTTGCGCCCACCCAGAGGGGCTGGTGCGGACGTGCGTCCCGCAGCCCGGGACGGTCACTCCAGCTCTCCCCTGGCCGGGGTCTGTCCGACCAGCCGGCTGCAAACCGGTGGGGGTGCGGGCCAGCTGCGGGGACGCACGCTGGGTCCCCGCCCGGCTGGGAGGACGGTGCGGCGCAGGGGAGACGCGAGTCTGACGGGGGAGGCCGGTCAGATGGTGATGAGAATGCAGACCGTCGGGCAGTGTTTGAAGGGAGGTTTTAATATTAATAGTTTCGGTGTAGAGACAGAAGGGAGATTGCGTCTAGGCTCCTCGGGGCAGACTCTGGGTGACAGCAATGATGGATGATCGGCAGAGCCCGGCAGCTCCTCCCCTCCAGCCCCAACAGTGTCAGAGCTACTTTAGCTGAAGCTTTAGAAATAAAATAAACAGCATCACCCCCTTCCTCCTCGTGCACCTCCACCCACCCCCCGCTTTCAGACATCGATTTATGGATCATTACGAATCAATTACACTGCTCTCAATTCTTTCCCATTGCCTTAACTAAAACAGTGGAAAGATGAAAACGTGGGGTTCGGTGGGGAATATTTTTCCCCCCTCTCCCTGACAGGAACAATCACAAAATCCATTATCTCCTAATCAGAGGCACTGGGTTAGGAGGTGAAGAGAAAGGAAGGGGGTCACCCAGGAAATAACGGGGGGTCGCTGCGAGGGGAGGTGTCGCCCAGCTGCGCCTTTGTTTTATTTCAGATGGGTTTGGTTTGTTTGCTGTTTGTTTGGGGTTTGGAGGACCGGGTTGGGGAGGGGGGGAGGGACTGGCGTGAGAACCAGAAGCCTCCAAGTTTGGTGACCTAATTGTTTAACTCTTTGGAGAGTCCTCTTTGAACGTGGCTCTCCCGAGCATCTGATGTGAGTTGGTGGCGAGGCCGCACATGGCAAAGGTGCAGGGCGGCTTTTCACGTGGTGGGGGCCACTGCGCGCCGCGGGGTTGGGGACGCGGCCCCCCGCCAAGGCCGCTTTTGTCGCCGGGCTGGTCGGGATGGGGACCCGCAGGCGCACTCGCCCCCGCCCCCACCTCGGCCCCAGGCCTTTCTTCCCCCTCCCGCCCCCAGGCCGCGGGGCTGGGGTCCTCTAGGTGTTTCTATGACTACATTGTGTGTGTGGGAGGGTCAGATGTGGGGGTTGCCCGCGAGAGGGCCGTTCCTGGGCGATCATTTATCAATGTCACCCACATAATGATTCTCTCCGCAGCCTCCTATTGATGAGGATAATTACATTAGCTCAGAGTGAATGATCAATGAAAAACCACCACACAAAAACTTCTTTACTCCCTTATAATACCAAAAACCGATACAGAAATAACATAGAAAGCCTGATTTTTCTTTCCCTTCTCTACCCACCAATGGATTCTACCCCACCACCCCTCCTTCCAAAAAAAAAAAAAAAAAAGCACGGGGGATGAAGTAAGAAAATAGACCTAGGTTTGTTTGGTTCAGAGGATGCAGTTTTGCCCGTGAACGCATTTAGTGTAAACGCGCTGGCTTCATTCCTCCTGTGGTAAAAAGAGTAACAACGGATGTGCTAATGTGAGTTGCTTTGACACTGATCTGTGGTTTGCCGTTCTTTTTATTTCTTTCCCTGCTTCAAGAAAAGGAGAGAGTTCTTTTTATAAATAACTGGAAAAAGAAATTACTCTAGTCTTTAAAAAAAATAAAGCGTTTGCCTTGGTGGGGGTATCTTTTGTCTTTATCACTTCATAAAGTAGCACAATTAAAGACGCGTTGGTGTTGCATGGGTCCAACGGGTGGATCCATTATCCGGCTACATAATTCGCTATTCTCGCCTGAAAAGTTTGCAGCTAAATGACGACTTCGCTTTTTCTACACTTAAAAATCAATATTTTCTCAATGAAAGGGAATTTTAATGCTTTACTTGCGAGTTGTTAAAGGTGCTGTAAATTTTATTGTAACGCCTCTTGGCTCCGGAATAGATGCAGGAGACCGGTTGATTCTCTGTGGTCCTTTTCCTCTGAGGACGTCCAAGGGGTTCCGATCCAATCCAAGCCACAAAGGTAAGGAGAGCTGCCTGGTAAGGGCAGCCGGCAAAGGGGTGGGGAGCCGGCCAGGGAGCCCTCCATCGCCAGAGGCCATTGTCTTGTATATTTTCACCTCTCTGGGTCCCGCCTCCTGAAGTGACAGAAGGGTCCTTCTCCTCGAAGCTCCCTCGAAGCGGGGGAGTCCAGGAGACTCCCATCTGCTCTGGGATGGTCAGGAAAGGAGGTGCGTTTGGGGAGCTTCCCTAAAGTGTCCCCTGGAACTCGCTCTGCCACAAATGCTGCGGTATTTGCTGTGTGCTCTGGCCTCGGGGTCAGAAATCGTCCCCCACCCTCAAGAGCAGCGGTGTTTACAGTGTTTCCCTTCCACGCGTCCCACCTAGTAAAAGTTCCCGCAGAGAATTAGCCGGGCTGTGTTAATAGCCCAGAGCTGCTACTGCCCCGGCCTGCGAAGCTGGAATCCGGTAACGTGGAGGATGGCGTTGAACTCACGTGGCAGGGCTGCTCCGTCCCGCAGAAGTCCAAACGTGAGGATATTCCAAGGCCCAAGGACCTGGTAGGAAGCAAGGTAGTGAAACTTTCCAAAAGTAAGGCACAGAGGAGGATGCAAAGGAGGTTCTGGTGGGCTGGAAAGAGAGAGCAGGTGAGGCAGAAAAATGAGTC